GATAATAACACAATGGAGTTCACACATCCATTGTTTCCTACCCGTCTAATAAGTAGACAAGAAACATATTGACGCAAGCGTCAAAAATTGGCCGCAAACCAATTAATTAATTCTTTCATAAAACAATTAGAAACTCAATTCTTATAATTATCTGTTAATTGATATGTATCCCTGTGACATTTAACATTGGAATGCGACATTCCAGGATTTTCTTCAGTACATAATACCTGTACATTGCTACATGTACAATTTATTTAAGCAACTTACTCATAGTCCTCTGCGTCCCCGCACTCGGATTCATTTGTACAAACGACCTCTGGCGGAAGTTTGGTGTTTAAGTAGTTTTACAACTTAACCATTAAAACTAACGTTTAAACTTATCTAACTAGAGATAGTTTAACTTTGAATAAAACGTAACAACTATGTGGGGCTCCTCGCTGGCTCAGAGGATGTTAAAACCCCAAACTCCCTCTAGATCCGCCACTACATTTCTTCTCTATCTTGTGTTGGTGTGAGATGTGGCGGGAAAAGGTTTGGCATGTTATAAAACGCGCTTTATCCTTGTCTGTTGGAGAAAAATCTCCTAATATTCTGTCTGATAATAAATTAAGATCAAGTCATATTTTTGAAAATTTTCCGTATTAAAAGTATATTGTATATTTATATTTACACGTCATTTTAAATTATATATACAAAAAATCCTGTTGAAGACAAGTAGAGAAAGTAAATTTGTTTGTACATGTGTATAACGCGGTCCTTGCTTTAGACTACGCCCAACATGTGTGCTTATTTCTCCGCACTTCAGTTACGTCGGAGTTTGTCAATCATGATTGGATGAAACATTTAACCCATTATTTATAAAATTTTAATCTTCTGATTATGTGCGTTTTTGTTTAACATTTAGTCACTCTTTCTTAATATTCTATTACATGAATGTTAAATATTTTTTATTCAAATTGTTCTAGCTCCGCAGAAACGCACGGCAACTTAAAACTTTCATATCATATAACCGACCGCCTCCTGGCGGCCGGTCCGCTGCTGACCGTCACACCCGCCGTTTGCTCCTTGTCATGATCGGGAAATAACGGAAAAATTCGTCGTCTATTTAGCATTTGACTCATTGATAAATTCTATTTGCTGACAAGGTCATTGTATCAACCAAAGAAGATGTTTGAGTTTCTGATTGACAATTTTTATGTGTTTTTTTTTTTTGGAGACAAGGTTCTCCAACAATCTATTGGAATTCCCATGGGTAGCAATTGCGCTTAGTTATTAGCAGACCTATTTTTGTATTCATATGGAGCAGAATTTGTGCAAAATCTTATGCATGAAAAGAAGAAAACACTATCGACGAAGTGTTGTCAATTAACCATGGAAATTTCCATTCCTACGTAGATACGATATATCCTGAGGAGCTTGAGATAAAAGATACCACAGAGTCTGACACATCTGTTTCATACTTGGAGAATGTACTTACTGAAAAAGACGTAAATGGTTATCTAATAACCAAGCTATATGATAAGCGTGAAGACTAACTTTTCTGTTGTCAACTTTCCTTACTTATGCAGCAATATACCTTCATTACCTGCATACGCAGTTTATATATATCTCTGTTGATTCAATACGCGACAGCATGATCTACATATGAACAATTTCTAAAACGAGATAAATTATTGACAAGCAAGTTGATGAAACAAGAATATCAGGAGTCTCGTTTAAAGTCATGATTTCGTAAGTTCTAAGTTCGATACAATGACCTTGTCAGCAAATACAATACATTTATCATTGAGTCAAATTCTGACTGATGTTTTCATACTAATTGTTAGTCCATTATTTACACAACGGATTTTTTCTGTTATTTCCCGATCATAACAAGGGACACACGGCGGGTGTGACTGGTCAGCAAGGGAGGCTCACTCCTCCAATGCACCTGATCCCACCTCTGATGCTTCAGAGGTCCATGTTTGCTTTGCTCCTATTTTATCTTGTTTTATGGACTTTGATACTGAATACTGTTTGTTATCTCCATATCCTTCTCCGTACCATCGGGCTTTGGCGTATCAGACAATCGCCTGTTTGCCCATAGTGTCTCATAGGAAACGACCCATTGGACTTCGGCGTGACCATCAAACTTTGGTGTCCATACCGACAAAAAACCGTCAGAATTTGGCGCACACAATCTGGATTTGGTAACAACAGCTGTACTGTAAAGTGTAGTGATATGAAATACCATTATCAAAATGAAATCTCTTTATAATCATTTAAAGGCCGGCCATATCTTTTCTGTCAATTGAAAACCATTCAGAAGTCATTTTATTTTGTCAACTCATTCAGTAATTCTCAACAGAAAATATTATAAATTAAAAATCATTTTTCATTTTACTACAGTTTGAATTTCATTCAATATCCATTCAAATTCCAATTTTTGGGCCCTATAACATGCATATTGACTATTCCGAAACCATTTACTGGTATGTAAATGATACACCTAAATGGTTTTGTCGTAACAATTTTATATTCATTTTTAAACACTTTATCTATAATTGAAAAATAGGCTAGATCAATGATATTCAAAGAATAGGCGCCCTAAAATCCAACTTCTTGATTCATCCATCATCTTCAGTCACAAAAAAGTTAAAGTGCTCATTATTTTCGCAAATTTGGTATAAATTCCTTGAAATTTTAACTGATTCTCCGAATCTAATTTTATTTTTAGGACAAAATTCTTTATTGGTGTGTTAAGGCTAACAGATAATTGAGGAAATAATTTTTGATAAATGAAGAGCCAAAAAACTCTCTACATGATTATAATTAACATTGACCCCTATTTAAAGTTAATTCATATGCCTTAATGAAGTATTACGTAACTTACAAAATAATCATGTGTAATATATATCAATTAAATTAATTGCGTACAGAATGCATGATTTCACACGAGTCATATAATGATTCAAACTTTGTTTTGCATTTTGCATTTTATGTACCAAGCAAATGTACATATATAGTACAGAATATATGGACACCTGACACTGACATATCATTTATATAAATTTTAAAGAGGACAACTGTGTTTTTTTTACCAGCACTTATGTTTACGAGCCAGTGAATTTCGTGTAATCAGGTTGATTTTTATTTAAAAAAAACATATTTGTCATTACCTTGAATTTATTGTCCATATAATTTAATATTTCTATTTTTCTACTTTTACATTTTCATATATGTGAAAGCGAGTCAGAATGGATGTCCCTTTAAAACCACGAGTTATCAGAAACTAGTTTGTTAAGGTACTTTCTTTCTTTTTGATTCCTTTTCAAAGAATCTATACTAATTTTCAAGTTCAAGAAAAATTACGTATTTTAATATCCGTTTCAAGTGTTTAATTTACATTTATTTGATTCAGTAAATAATAACAATATTAATTTTGCTGGGGGTAATAAGACGCGTTCAGAATATTTCCAGCAGGCACACAACGTTGTTTAAACGTTGAATATTAGTTGACGTTGGGTTTAGACGTTGATAAATCTAGATACAATATTGATTCAAAGTTGACTTCATCGTTGAAAATTTAACGTTGAATCAACATTGAATTCAAATTGAGTTGAATTACCAACATTGATTCAACGTCGGATCTTCGTTGATCGAGCGGTCCAATCCTATTTTTTGCTGATAGATAATTCGGACTTCCATAGTGTCGGACTATAACACTGTCGGACCATAACCAGGTTGGACTTGACAATGTCGCACTACCGTATATCATTACTAAATATTATAACTAACAAAGATGGTAAATATAGAAATTTTACACATACAATAATAAATACGAATTCAGTACGAATTAGCCAAAGTACAAATTAAGAGGATACACAGTAGGACATCCGGAAAATATTCAAAAAGACAGCATAACACAACCCTCAGGACTCAACACCAAAATTTAATTAAAAAAAAAGACTCTTTAAAGAAAATATTTCGGAATGTCAGAGTACTAGTATCATTGAAGAGACATGATTTGTCGAAATTCATATCTGGTGCATCAAAAGTTGTACCATGTAAGATTAGCATCTTACCTTGGAATGATTTCATGTTCTGGACTATTTCATGACCACATGTGAAAATACAAAACGTTTGTAAATGCTGGGGTTTTGTAACATGATTAATTTATAAAATGTATTTTGGTGAAAATTATTGTAACACAATTAACCATTGATAGGAAATTAAACACTTACTGTTTACAATATATATTTTTTTTCATATAGTCTTTTATGGGATCCCGACCCTCTGCTATAAATTTCACCTAGAGAGTTCTAGATTTGTAATATTAATTCTCATAAACAACAATAACATTAGAGCCACATGGAAAATAGTTTGAAGTGTAAAGCGATGCTTTTCAGAAATGATTTTTATGTGTAGATCATGAAATGAAGAAATTGAACAAAGAGAACAGAAAGAGTAACGATTTATTACCACAACATTAAATATAATATATGAGGTGCATATGACAATAATACTTACCATTTAACCTATTGAAATCATGTTAGAAAACATCATGGTGCGATGTTTCCTAAGTCAGAAAATCACAATGCTGTATGTGGTTTTAAGAAAAAAATGTATCTGTGATGAGGAGTTATCTTTCTTCTAAATATTTCTTCATGTGAAAAAAGTCATTCTAATTAAAATACTGTATTAAGTACTTGAAATATTAAACCATTTTTAAAACGGTCCTTAAAAAGATACACCTTATTCAATTTATAAGGCATTTGATGTTGGATTTAAATGTTTTATTGATAAATATAATAAAACAGTTACACAAAAATTTGCAAAAGAAATAGAAAGTAATGTTTCGATCATATGTTTGATCTCATCAAATTGACTACTCAGAGGTCTCAGGAAACTGATTAAGAAGTAGTATTACTAATTTGTACTTTAAAAGTTATCTGTCTTATCAGAGGGTCGCTATCCCTTAAACAATTATGAAGGCATCTTAGCAACCGTGCAATAAAACGTTTGAAATTTTAAGTAAGTATAGATAGTTTTCGATTGACCAAGAGTTACTTCCCGTTGGCTGCCATACTGGAGGTCCAAATGCTCATATTCCTTCATTGTTCAACCAATTAAAAATTTTCATCTTTGCTATTTTGAATTAGAAATCATTATTTTTCTGAAGTATATAAATTTTTGGAAGCCTCCTTTATTTAAAAAAAATATTTGATAAAGATTTTCCACCAAATATTTCTGCTACATTTTCTTAAGGTTTCGTCAAAGGCCAACATGTCCAAAAATTTATTTTTACCACAGCCCCAAATCTATGTAAGGTATAAAGTTTAAACTTTTACAGTTTATAAAGTTTTCATTGATTAAGAGATAGAAAGTATCACTTGATATAAAAATACTTGGAAAAAATATTGATAGAGAAAACTTCTTGTAAATGCATATATTTTAAAAAAATACACCTAATTAATTCCGTGCTCTTAATGAAAACTATCATTGCAGAAACAAAATATGTTTATCAATGAAGGGCAAGTTGGAATTGGATAACCTCTGGAAAGTCGATTTCCCTTATTAATCTGTCCAAATGGTGAGACTTGAAAGTGAAAGTACATTGCAAATGGCTGATTCTGTAGGGGCCTTCTCTTTATACATGTCATGCTTTCAATAACAGTCTTTCAGAGACCATTCACGTCCAACTTGCCCTTAAATGATAAACATATATTATTTCTGCAACGATGGTTTTCACAAAAAGGACACAATTAAGCAGGTGCATTTTTCTTTAAATATATGCACATTTTCTGATAAAATTTTTCTCAATAAATATTTTTTTCAAAATATTTGTTATCAAGTGATACTTTCTATCTATTAATCAATGATATGTTTACAAACTGTAGACGTTTTGACTTTATACCCCACATAGTTTTGGAGCTATTGTAAAAATAATTTTTTAGACATGTTGATCTTTGACGAAACCTTAAACTTGGTAAGACAAAGAGGGAAAATCACTGAGTCGACCTCCAATATGGCGGCCAACGGGAGGTAACTTTCGCTAAATTCAGGCCTATCGAAAACTATCTATATTATTACTATATGACACCCCCTTTCCAAAATAAATAATTGAATAAATGTTGAAGAATCAACATAGAAAAACAACGTGGATTCACAGTTTATTCAATGCTGTGTGCCTGCTGGGTTGTAACTGGACTAAATCAGTGATACATTATGACGTTATAGTAGGCAAGATGACGTCAATTATAGAACACAAGTTATCGTAATATTGGCAGAGATGTAATTTAAATGAATAGAAACATGTAAAGAATAACAAAAATAAAATCTTATTTTTTATGCTGTATCTGTCATTTGGATTACAGAAGGCCGTTGACGTCATAAGTGTACACTTTGGAAGTGATCATGTTGTGTAAAGAGAATTTGGCTGAGACGGCATGAATAGAGACAAAAGGATTAGAAGCAAATATCCTGAATATTTTGTGAAGCTCACACAAAGATAAGGTTTATCAAACAGGTACATGTATGATAATTTATTTTCATCCATTATATTTTTTTTCAAAGACAGTCAGCTATAAACATATACCGGTCAGCTTTTTCTCTGTCATTCGTGGCAAAAATTAGTCAGAAAAGAACAAGAATTTGATATTATAACATGAGATTTGTACAAATTAAAAGCTTGACTTCTAATTTACCTGGAAAGTGTTGCTAGAATCTCGAGGAAAGCATGGTTTTACGAAAAATCTCGGGTTATATATATGTAAAAAATTCAAAACATCGTGTGAGGTTTCGTGCAAATGTTTGGAATAATTATTTTACTTACAGGACAGTGGGAATACAGCAGCACTTTTTAGGTATAATAAGTGTTTCTTAACTATGTTATTAACTCAAAGAAGTTATTAAACGTCATGGTACTGTTGCTCTGTTAGCTTGCTATTAAGGAACATTTTGCTATTGAGGGAAGACAGGGCACATGTCACATGACTCAAAAGACATATTGCGTCATAGTCGCTGCTAAAGTACATGTTGAACGCTGTTCAACATCTACAATTCTTGTGTTATTTTATTCTAAAATTGTTTTGTCAAACATTTGCTGAAAAAATATTTAGATTTTGCCAACATTTAGATATTGTGAATTTGGCAAATCTACACATCTTTTCTTCTTTACGCTGCAGTCTAACGTTAGTGACATGATAACCGCAGTGTTTGATATCTCAGTGCAGCGAGATCAAGTTCACATTAGCTACACCATCAAAACATCAGTTTTATTTCATAATAAATAGGTCACAGTCAATGCATCGTGGTGTTTATCTGAAGCAGATTATTTAATTAATATTTATTCGTGTTTGGTAGCATATGCATGAATTCTCTCTATTTAGATAATTTTGCGTATTTATGTTTTCGTGTTACGTCACAATTAAGTTACTGCACTCGAAAAATGTAAACATGAAGCGTTTTTATAATGGTTACGTCAAATTTATCAAAGTTTTGTGCGATATTAAGGTAGGCTTCATCCTGCAGTATTTATGCAGTTAATAATTACGATGAAGGACTGACATTCCGTCGTAAATTTAGCAATATTTATTGACATATTTTTTTTCAAATGAGGTTTTTACCTTAAAAAATGCAGAAATTATCCCACCCAAATACGATGTGGAATTAAAACAAATGCTTTCAAATAATTTAAATACCATGCGTATTCTTAAATATTTGAGCATTATACAATTATAGCCTTTTGATGAGGTCAATCCCTCCATATATAGACCTTAGAGAAAGCATATCGACCGAGCACGAAGTGTGAGGTCGATATGCTTTCTCTAAGGTCTATCTATCGAGGGATTGTACCGAATCAAAAGACTACAACTGTTGTACATGTATTATTTTTTATCAGTTAATAAGAAATGTCTTAAAATCCTCTTTAATAATACTTAGTACCTTCTCATACAAGGCATTGTTATGTCATTGCATTATGCGTCACAGTAATGAAAACCAGCTGCAGTGTCTGTTTTTGAAACATCCAGTCTATAAAGACTATTGTGACGTCAGTACTATTGTTGCTTCACAGAGAACGTTTCCAATTTTAGAAACAGCAGGTTTATAAATTTTTAAAATAGAAACACACAGTCTGTAACACTTTTTATACTTGATCATGTGATCCAGTTTGAGCCAATCAGATAGTTGGAACAATAAAGAAAAATAATAAATACTATTGTGAACTCAGCACTATTGTTGCTTCACAGAAGAACGTTTCAAATTTTAGAAACAACAGGTTTATTAATTTTTATAATTGAAACATCCAGTCCATACCACTTTTATACTTGATTATGTGATCTAGTTTGAGCCAATCAGAGAGTTGGAACAATATAGAAAAATAATAAATAGTGTTATTTAGCATATTTGTTTCTTATGCCTAAAAACTCGCATTGACTAGAATTTTTCAACTCAAGGTCCTGTTGCTCCTTAATTGAAGTGATAGCGTGGAGGTGGTGCTCGTCTTTGCCCTAGACACTCATTTATCTTGATAAATTGTAGATAATAATATGTTTTTATCATTGGCTCTGGTAAATTATTAAACGTAATTTTCTTTAAAAAGACTAAATTTCCCGAGAAACTATTTGAATGCTTCCTAAAATACCTGCATTTAAAATAAAATACAATGAGATACCAATGAATGTCATTCCAACGGATTATTAAAAAACTTCACAGATAAATAAATTCAAGCACTTTTCTCCCATTAACACTTCGTTACATTACATGCTCTGATTTAATTGTCAAAAAATCGCTATACTACAAGCTCTGTTTTACTTTAAAAAAACTATATATTACAAGCTCTGTTTTACTTGTCAACAAACCGTTATATTACAAGCTCTGTTTTACTTGTCAACAAACCGCTATATTACAAGCTCTGTTTTAATTGTCAACAAACCTTTAAATTACTAGCTCTGTTTTAATTGTCAAAAAACCTTTATATTTCAAGCTCTGTTTTACTTGTCAACATACCGGTATGTAACAAGCTCTGTTTTTCTTTTTAAAAAAAACCGTTTTATTACAATCTCTGTTTTGCTTGTCAACACACCGTTATATTATAAGTTCTGTTTTAATTGTCAACAAACCGTTATATAACATTTTTGAATAACTTTTCCTATTATATCACAAATGTAATTAGTTTTGCTATAAACCCTGAAAAATGTCGAGTCACACCGGAAACAGTTATGTCCGGCCGGAAACAGTTATGTTAACCCTCGACGGAAACAGTTATGTCACTATTTCGATCACGTTCACGTGTTTTTACGTTACGCATTTTAGCTCGGGTTCGAGATGTTATGACGTCGGATGCTAAGCAAATGTAAACAACGGAGCGTTATTCTTTACGTCAAGAAGGCATTTTGGATTATTTTTGTACATTTTAAAAATTTTGAATGAATTTAAATTTTCCTTTAATTTTAAAAATGTCATATAACATATACCACATGGCTTCTCGAGCGACTATACCAGAATATTTGCCCCTCAGTGATAGGAAAGCCCTGGAGTGTTATGTCACCCTCTGCCTTCGGCATCGGGTGACATAACACTCCAGGGCTTTCCTGTCACCTCGGGGCAAATATTCTGGTATGTCACCCTCGAAGCCATGTGATATATGTATAATGTAACAAGCCTGTATCTTTTTTACCGGTCACGGTAGCCTAGAGGTAATTCATGTTCTGGAGGCCCAGGTTTGATTTTCGTTCGCGGCGACGCGTCAAACCTACGACGTAAACATAGGTTTTGAGTGTTCCTTCGCCAATTGCACGGCATGAGAAGTGATCGAGTCACGGGTTTTTCCAATATGATATATGTCCCGTGTGACGTTAGGCGTTGGCACGGTAAAGAACCATCATTGCTCTATGGCCCTTAGTGCCGAGTATAGGTCTTAAGTTAAAGTCCTTCACTGGCATACGGTGACGTCTCTGTATGAGACAACAATGGGACGTTAAACAATATTATATACAATCAATCAATCAACATACTTATGGAATAACAGTCTTCAAATTTGGTATTTGCGACCGTTAATGCTAATGTAATGGTCGCAAACTCAACAAAATAAGACGTACACCACAAACAAAATGCATGGATTACAAAAAAATGGGAATAAATCACATTCTAATTTGGTATTTGGGATCGTAATTACTAATGAGTTTTACCGGCGACACGAAAGTTAAATTAGCATTAACGGTCGCAGATACCAATTTAGAAGATAAGGTAGTGTAGACAGGGTCATAATTCCGCGCAATTCCTATTTCTTTTTTATCCGCGGGTAGAATATTACGCGGAATTCTTGGTCTCTTGCTATAATCTTTACAAGTATTTTGATAACGATGGGACAATTTTCTGCGGACAAATTGTGACAGTGTACATAGACGTCGCGCACAAGGATGGGATAATCGTAATCAGCTGTAATCGATTACAGTTTGCCAAGTAATCATGAGTAATCAGTAATCACCCATTTTTCTGATTACAAGTAATCGTAATTTAATCGATTACTCTGAAAAAAGGTCCTGTAATCATGATTACTTTTTGATTACTTTATGATTACAATTATTAAAACAAAGTTCATAAAATCATGATTTTGTCTATTTTTTATGATATTCAGTGATTTTTTTTTTCAGTGTACAAATTTGTTTATATTTTAGCAAATATTATTATAAAACTATAAGCAATATTTAGTGAGGTATCTTCTTCTAATGCTTTCAGAAATGCTTATAACCAGGTCAAATGTCCAATGAGTAAATTCCATCATTTCTTAGCTATATTAAGTAGTCATTTCAAAATACTTTAGCAGCTTAGCAATTCGACATTTTTAACTAGATAGTAGATACATGTATATACTGAAAGTTAGTTTTCATCTACATGATCATTTTGAAGTATGACTTTTTTGGGGGTTTCAATTTTAAAACGTGTTTAATGCAACGTTTTGTTTTCCCTATAAAGCAACATTTTGTTTTCCCTATGAATCTTTGAATTAACTTGCATCTTTTTAAAATATCAAATGTTCCTTTATTGAGAT